CCCCTCCTTCCTCCCCCTCCCCCCCTCCATTCCTAATATGGGCAGGTAAAACTTGCAAAGAGTGAAAGGCTTACCGAAGTTCAGAGCACAATACTAGATCAAATTCCAAAAGTGGGAACAAGAAAAGCAGGTTGACTGTGGCCGTTACTCAGGCTACAGAATTCATCTCTTGTTGAAGTGTTACACCAAAGGGATTTTTTTAGAACCTACGTCATTATTCTCGATGCTCTTGCTATTATGATAATGCAATTATGCTATCAAAATTATTCACTGAATACAGATGGAAAATTTAATTTTAACTGCAGAGTGCGTTGCAAATATTCACCCTCAATTACTTCGCATGTCGCTCCGAAAGGCTGGAAAAACCGATACGATTTTTCCCACTTGTAGAAAAAAAATGTGTTACCCTTGTGATTAGTCATACGATATTTTTAACAGCTGAGAAAATCGTATGACCGATGGGATTGCTTCTCATCAAAGAGAGACGATTTTTATTCGTTACGTGAGTTTGCACTGAATAAATCTCAGTATTTAATACACTAGATTACGCCATGCACATTTGTTTAATACCGCAGACTCCTTCTGCATGGCAAGAGTGACAGGATGGAGGAAATATATCTCTTTAAAGAGAGACTGGTGAAAACATGTTAACTAAGTTGCGAGACTGTGATAAAGATTTTCCCTTTGTTTTTAACGGACAACTCTTTCTTCTTCATCAATGTGTTTGAAGGGTTTCAAGACTATTTTGTAACAATTGAGAAAAAGACGAAGGAAATGATGGTAAACAGTGAGAGATCCTTTCTGGTTGGCAATGTATCTAACATGAAAAGAAGCATATACAGCTGTATCACTAATGATTAAAAAACTGTCATTTTTTAAATTAAAACATGCAATGTAGTCCTTCACAGGCGGTAATTACAGGGTAAAATTTACGGCCTGCAGTATGTCATATTGAGGCCTTAAATTCCTCTCAATTCTTGAAAATTCATCAGGTGAAAGGATTACTTCACTGTTTAAGAAATTTATTTTACTTGTTATGCATACGATAGGGTAGAACACTGCACATATCAGGTTTAATACAAAAACAAACGGATTGCAAATAACACAGGAAAAACTTAAAGAGGGGACGAAATTGCCAAGGTTGCAAAAAGTATCAGTTTTTTTGTGGAGTGACGGAATAGTAACAGGGAATATTTCTAGAACAGAAATTTGTATTAACAAAAAGTTAGACATAAATATCTCACGATATTGAAAATTGGAGAAAATCTAAGGAAGTCACGATGATGGAAGAATGAACAAAAAAAGTTAAACTCTCCTCAAATGTTCCCTACCAAAGTATATTTCGAAAAGTGCACTGAAAGAGATAGGTCGTTATGCTTGTTTTTTAATTTATGGAAAAAAAATCAACGACTTTAAACGACATCGACTCAAAATGTTCCTCGAGTCGTTGCATTTAAAGTTATGATTTGCATCTTCGAGTAACGGGCTTCCTGTACGTTTTTAGCCATACCTTTTTTCCTATAATAATAATTTTTCTTAGTGTCTCCTATTTAAATGAGATAATTTCTACTCCCAAAAAAATTATCCAATATAAAAGTCAACGTGCTTTTTCAAGAGTAAAAGATCAAAGTAGCTGTTTACCTCGGCCATTGACTGAAAACCAACACTGTTCTCGGAATGCACGCGCCTATTCAACTGATTACGTCATATCTATGCGCAGTGCATGGTGCGCAGTGCAATGCTGAAGAATCACCTTGTTATAAATCTCGGAGAATGAAGAGATGTATCTTGTATCTGATTAGGTTAAAGTAAAGTATTCTTACAACTTGTTTACTGAATGATGCAGTTGAATTATGGACCGAAATTTCTCTTTTTTTAATTAATCACGTCCCGGAATTGATTGTAGGTTCCAATGATTCTCAATAATTAACTAGAGCTGCAATTTTTAGGTGAAGCTCTTTGTTAGCGGAAATTTTCCCCTTTCATGCATGTAAACCCTGATCGAAATGGGGCAAAATTGCCATGAAAAAGTTTTAATTCTGTCTAAAGCTGACCTATTCCAAGTTGTCATTCATGAAGTACACAATCAGCTTCCAACTGAATTCTCCTCTGCCCTATGATACAAAAAGTGTCTAAGGACTGGGAATGAGGAAGGATGAAACAGGAAAATGGAAATATGTTTTATTAACTTACCTAATTACATTCAGTGAGATCAAGTAAAGGACGATACAAAGCTGTTAAACAAAGGGAGTTTATTTTATAGTCATGAATTCTTAACATTTACAATAAAACCTTACTTTGGTCACTAAAACTTTTTACTTTCTTTCAAACTCTTCAAAATATTTCAAAAAATGTACTACAACAGACTTCTTCAGCAAGACAAGAGTAATGTTTTGCTTAATGAAACTGCAACTTTACATCTCATCTTTGACTAAAAGAAAAATGATAGATACTATTGTTATGAGCTTGGGCTGTCTGTGCTCACTGACCCTTTGACATTTTGTATGTACTTTTTATTTTAAGGAAATTCCAGATGTACCACCAAATCCAAAGGACTTTCCAGAACAAACAGGATGGAGAAAATATATTTCCATGAAAAGAGACAAATGAATACAATCTAATTGAAAAATATTGAATCAGTTGTGAGATTCCATGATAAACCTTTTCCCTTTAATTTGTGATCACACAACAGATCTCGTCTTCATTTAATGTTTTTAAAGTGTTTCAAGACTATAATTCAAGATACTGAGAAAAAGATGATAGAAATAATGGAAAAAAAGTGAAAGATCATATCTGGTTTGTTATGTAACCAAAAATGCAAAGAGGCACATACAGTTATATCACTAATGATTAAAGAAACTATCATTTTGTTGACTAACACATGTCAAACAGTTTTATTGTAATGCAGAGACAAACTTAAAATAATTCAGGAAAAAATTTTCAGGAGGGGACGAAGGTATCAACCAGTACATAGCATAGACTAAGCAGTACAAAGAAAAGTACATGTAATTAAAAAGAATCAAAAGGTTTACATCGTAATAAAGGAATCCTCATAACATCCAACACTGTCAGGGCAAAATAGTACTTGTGACAAACAGTAACTTCAATTTTTGGGCGGTATGGGAATGTGAGAAAATTATGAATCTAAAATAATGGATGAATGAAAAGAGAATATTCTACTCCAGTCCTTAGGTGAAGATAACAGGGCAATTAGGACTGGGCTCTAGACACTTCCTCTATCATTATGCGGGATACTGAGTTCCATCCAGTGTGAGCATCACCCAGTGGATAACTGGGACACTTTCCTACCCACAACTCCACAGTAACCCTGCCCTGTGGAATGTTTTCACAGTATCCCTCAAATGATCTGTGATGAAGCAGATTAGGACTCCCAGATGGCCAATCGTTGTACACAACAGCCTCAATTGTCATTGGTCCTCTGCATTCATTTCCATTAAACTTGAAGAACCACCTGTTGCATTTAGAAGAGCTGTGTACTCTCATATTTCCCTGGAATGAGACTTTAATGGCTGTATCAGACTGCAGCTTGTTGAATGAGCAATCCTATAAAAATTGCCAAGAAGACAGTCTTAGTGCAAAAGAAATGTTTTATAAGAGTGTTATAGGAAATAATTTGATGATGACCTTGTACTTTTCCTGCCTGCAAGAATGCACAAAATTGTTAATTGATATTTTTAGTTCGGCGGCACTTCTCAAGTCTCTTTCAGAGATGGCCATGACAAATTGGCTCTAACACTCAATTGATTTTTCATGGCATTTTCTAGATATTTCTGTACCTTAATCTTTCCACTATCTCGACTATCAGCATTTTTCCACACACACTGTTTCCAGTTGGTCTGTGACACTGCACTATTCACGATTTCTCCTTTCTCTCCTTTAGATCCCTGCTCTCCTTTCACACCCTTGATTCCTGGCGGTCCACTGCTGCCAGGTGACCCTTCATCACCTTTATTTCCTTTTATTCCCATCATTCCAGGTGCACCATTTTTACCAAGTGACCCTGAGTTTCCTTTTTGTCCTCTTATTCCCGTCATACCTCTCGGTCCCTTAACACCAGGCTCCCCCTTGGCTCCATCTTTTCCTTGTTGTCCTTGGGGCCCTGGGGCGCCAGGAATTCCCGGCATTCCTGGTATGCCATTCGATCCTGGAATCCCAGAGGATCCGTGGGCAAAAATAGATTTCTGAAAAAGGAGAAAGAACATATAATTAATGAAGGGATGTTCTTGATGTTTATTGATATTTACATGTCCGCCGAAGTAGCACAGCAGTTTCTTCAGAAACTAATCACGTTGAGAATTTAGCTTCGTTTTAGGAGAAACAGCTCGGAACATTGGATGATCTCATACCGTTGTGGAGATATTCCTAAAGGAAAACTTTTTCAAGCAATGTTTTCCTTTGTCTTTGAAACTTATGATTGTTGAGGGATTTGTTTTTTTCTTAGCTCGACAGACATGAGTGGTAAACTGAGGTATGACAAATGGATGCTTCATGAAGTACATGCGATTTTGTAGTAAATAATCGTAGATAAAGCATGCTAAAGAGTACCTCACATGGGTATTTGTCAGCGCCAGTTTGTGGATTCTGTTGTTGAGGACTGGTGGTTGTTCCCATGGAACTTACTCCTGTTATGAATGAGAAAAGTAACAGAGCAGCGAGGTTCGGAAGCTTCGCCATACTCCAATGTTTACTTCGCGCGACTGGTTCGTGTTCTATGACTGAAATATATTTCTTGTTATATACGCGCCTATTTATATCCTAGAGAATTTCCTTGAAAAGTAAACTGTAGGAAACGATGGAGCTAAATGATCAGGAAGTCTCAAGCTACTCGAGGTCACACACGGATAAACAACTTAACTCTGATATCCTTATCACGTTTTTCAATGAAGCACGTACCCCTGCAAATACAGAGAATTCCCCCGAAAAATCTGGGCAATGAAATGTTCCTATTTTGATCAAACGTGACATATTGAGGTGGAATAGAAATTTGATATAGTCTGTGACTGACGTGGTCTTCGTTTTGCCTTTGGACGGTACTCACGTAATCTGCATCAATTCTTAAAGGTTCTAAAACGTTCGAAAACGTTCCGAGTGTTAGATCCTTGCTGAGGCAGTGTGATAAATTTTCATCTTCAAATTCCATTCATATGTTTCACTGATGGTACAATTTTCAGACACGTCTCGATGAATATCATTAATGTGTTTGATTGAGAAAATAGGTGATATCCTTCGTTTGACTCAGCTCGTTACCGATATCAAAGATAACCGTGTTGTAATTAAAAAAATGCGGCAGTATAAGAGCGGCCAAGCCGTTCAGATGTTCAGTATGGTGTTCCTGGAGACCTGAAGCACATTTCAGAGAAGTAGAAAAGTGCAATGTCTATCTTCCTGTACATAGGTTTAGAAGGGGCGAGTTGTCATTCGTTCGAGAACTATAACAAGTGCCTCATGACTGCTTTTCTAGATCTCCTCTAGAACGGAGATAAAACTCTCTCTGAACTATATTCAACATTTCTCTGTACCACCTTAGTTCTTAAATGAGCATAGTGACCTTCTGCTTATTTTACAAAATCTAACCTCCAAGAAGTGAAGTAAAACAAAATCTTTCAATTTAGCAAACGGAACTGGTAAGTATCTATTACTTGATCCAGCTGGTCATTCAATGAATATAGGTGAATGACGGCCATAATTGAATATTTACTTTGCGCAAATACATTATGGTCCTTTGAAGCATCTCCTTATATACGTGCCGGCCTTTTTGTATCCTTAAGAATTCCTTCAAATATAAACTCTCAGTAACCGTTCATAAATAAGAATTTTAAGAAAGAAACAATGGAGCTAATTAAATAGAAAGGAAGTCTGAAACTACTCGAAATCACACTCGGATAAATAACTTAACTGTGATATCCTTATCACGTTCATTAATGAAGTATGTAATCTACATAAATTCAGAGAAATTACCCGGAAAATCCAGGCCACGTAGCATCCCTTTTCTGATCAAAAAAAGGAAGCGATGAGCTAATTAAATGAGAAGGAAGTCTGAAACTACTTGAAATCACACACGGGTTAACAACTTGACTCTGATATTCTTATCAAGTTCATTAATAAAGCACGTAATCTACATAAATTCAGCCGAGAAATTACGCGGAAAATCCATGCCAGGTAGCAACCCTTTTCTGACCAAACAAGGGAAGCGATGGAGCTAATTAAATGAAAATGAAGTCTGAAACTACTCGAAATTACACACTGGTAAATAACTTAACTATGACCTTCTTATCACGTTCATTAATGAAGCACGCAACTTTCATAAATTCAGAGAAATTACCAGAAAATCCAGGCCACGTAGCATCCCTTTTCTAATCAAACGGATATATGGGGAGGAAGAGATATTTAATATTGTCAGTGACATGATGTTCGTTTCCCGAGCCTTTGGACGGCGATGAGATATTCTGCATCAGTTCTAAAAGAAATGAACAAAAAAACAAACGTTACTATTGAGGGATATAAATTCGTTGCGTAAGGAACCTCACGTGAAGGATTGGGTATTTTGTTTTGACTCTTCCTAGCGAGGGTAAACAATGCGATGGACTTCCACTGATCCATGCTTTTTTTTGGCTGATCCATGCTTTTTTTTGGGCTGATCCATAGATCTGACGCTATTCTTTTAACTCTTGAAGCGAATATTACTTAAATATTTCCATGATAAAAAAATTACCGTATGATAACTCTGTACGTGTATGTTTTGCTTTTTCTCTGGATCAAATTCAATTTTTAATGTTTGAGAAAGTAAAGTCATAGCATATATATAGCACGCTGACCTCGAATTTTTGGATTTTTTTCAAAGAAACTTATTGTTTGCTTTGATTTTAGATGATTCCACATTGCCTGAAAAAAGATGCCTTTTAGAGCAAAGAAAAAGTGCGATTAGTGAAAAAATATCACTGCCGATGACAGCCAATCAGATTGCAAAAATCACCAGTGTTTTCAGAATGGATGTGATGGTGTACGGTGTTATCGAAAACAGCTTTATTTCCTTTCCTTGTTTCCTTATTAGGTGAATTTCCCAGACCAAATCTTAGCTGCCCTCCTAGAAGTTCTGGTCATCCATGATCATCCACGAAGATCATTAGAAGACACCCAACATGGTCGTGTTTATGACTTGGCATCTGAAGAAGAATATCGCTGACGAGCTCGCCTCTCCTGTTTCAGTGCAGGGTGTATCGTGCTCTCTATGCTTAGCGTGCGTATTTTCAGATAAGCCATCAGATGGCCAACAGGACAAAATAGAACGATTCCGTAATTCGGAAACATCACGGAAACATGAAACTCTATGTTTCCGTTCTGCGGGAAGTTTAGAGAGCAAGAGAGACGCGAGTTTCCTTGAGCTAGTTTCTCCCTACCGTCGATGTCCCAAAATTTATTTTTCCTTTGGTCGATTACCGTACTCATGCATTCTGAATCGATTCTAAAATACCATTAAAATAATTAACCACCGTGTGTTTGAACCATGCTTATCCATGCTTTCGTCTCCAAAATATGTTGATGTGTTTAATAGTGCAGACTTGTTTTGTGTAGTTTAAGTTAATAGTGATATTTTTGTGGTTCTTGTTGATCTGTTGTCTGATGTGATGTTTCCATAATTGGCACTTTTTTATGTGTTTTGTTTGCATAAGACCTTAAGCTTTTTTATCGTCGTGAGGTGTCGTCGTGTTTTTGGCAATAGAAGTTAGGGAGAGTTGGTTAATTAGGGTTAGAGTTGGAGTTGATCAGGGACAGAATATTATGTACGTTGCAGCAGCAAGGCATGATACATTAAAGAAGAAGTTTATGTGTTCCAAGGTTCTTCCTGCCTTTCGCTCAACGAGTTTGCTCAAGCTAGTGTCCCCCCTAACGTCCCAATACTTGGTTCACTGAGTATCTCATCAAACTGGAGTAATGATGTGTTTGATTTAGGAAATAGATGATAGCATTCGTTAGCTTGACTCCTTTTCCAAATATCACAGATAACAGTGCTTTAATCAGAAAAATGCGGCAGGAAAAGGCGGCCAAGCCCTGAGATGTTCAAAAAGAGTAATTTTGTAACTGTGATACTGCGTTGGTGAGGGGTATTACAAGACAATTTGGTTTTATCAACACGAGTGTAAGCTCTGACGAA